ATATATACATATATGCGTATGTGTGTGTATTATATATAGATATAGAATATTACATATAATATATATAATATTCTCTCTTTTACTCTTTTCCCTGTCACGTGACTTTAGTCAGTTGTTGTTTTTCTACTTCTTCCTGTCACATGACTTTACTTTAGTTACGTTTTTAAAGACACGTGACTTAAATACAGTCACGTAACTTTAGTCGCGTGTTGTTTTTTCACTCCCTTCTCTTTTCCATTGTCGAGTTTGATTTTCATGCGTTATTTCTGACATCTCTCATATGTACATCATGTGTATTGTATGATTTGTAAGACGTATATACTAGCTGTCATCGCGGTGACAGGTAGTGTTTACTGGCACAACACGTTAAAATAAAAACAATAACAGCGCGCGCGTGTGTTGTGCTAGTATTATAAAATTTATGTGCGTTTTCAAATCGCGATGTTAACAAGAATTTATTTAAAAATTTTTAACATTCTCTGAACAGTGAGAGAGAGAGAGGAAGAGAGCACGCAATTACATAAATGAATTGTCTGATTGCGATTGTCAAAGAACATTAAATAAATAGCACTTAAGAACTTCCTCTCTCTTTGACTCGTCTATAAAAATTCTATTACTACTCTCTCATCTTTGTATTTTGTCTTTTTTCTTTTTCTTTTTCTTCTTTTCCATCTTTTATCGAAAGTGCTCGACCGCTACGATAGTTTCTTTAGAGTGAGTTTGAAAGAAACTCTAAGACAAATTCTACACATTTGACAGTTTTCAAAGTTTCTGTCTTGCGGACTGAACAGCGGAGTGACTATTTCATAGAAAATAAGACGTGAAAGACGAATTATAGATAGATTCGCGATTTCTCACGCGAGACTGTCTCCGATCAAACGCGCGCGGTTGCCTCATTGAATATATTTTCTTAAATAAACATGGAAGGAACAAATACACTTTTATACATTTACATTTGAACAAACTATGTCAAGAATAATATTTCGCGTTTAAACAGTCGATTGAAAGCAAAACTAGTACGAAAGTTTAGACAGAGAAAAAACAGGAGCGATCGTTTTGTGTTTTAGGACGTATTATTCCGTTGGGTCCGGTGCTCAGGGACGAGAGCACCAACGGCACTTTAGCTGACGGCGTTGACGAACTATTGGAATCTCTAGTGAAAACCGCGACAAAAACGCCAGCAACCAGAACTACGCCTCGCGAACGCAAGCGGACCAGACACGCCGATCGTAAGTCTTGTAAGTGTGACCCCAGCACCCTGCACCTAGATTCTCCTCTCCTTTCTTTATCGATCGATCTCTCGTCGAGGTGAACCAACCTCTCTAACCGATAAATGAGGTTTTACCGCAGTGAGTTTGTGCGGACGTTACAAAATATAATGATTTTTATATTGATTTATTACTTACGTAATGAATCGAAGCGCGACATTTTAACGTTCAAAAAGAGCAGCAATTTTCTTGCTTCTACCAAGTAATTCATTCACTTCTTTATTACACAAAAAAAAAAAAAAATCAAAATCGCATCTGAAATGAACACTTGAATAAGAAAAAACTTTCACACGCAAGCATCGTGAAAATTCATTAAATTTCTAAGGGCAACGAAAAATGTTGGGCACTAGAATTTTCCAATAACTTCTGCTGCCGCAAGAGCCTTAAATTATCCGGTGTGAAGTATACATTATTGAGAACGGCCGGTTCGCAGATAGAGCTGCGAGGTCACTTCGAGTCGATCGATAAGCGAGAAGTTTGGAGATGTCGGCGTCGACGCCCTAGATCGAACATGCGATCGTACGCGTATCGCGTTGTTCGGTCTTTACAATTTTCCATGCACTTTATTTTAGCACTGACCTATTCAACTCTATTTCAATGTACGTCTGCTCAATGGCGCTCGTTTGTCTACTTCGACGTATAGTTGTACCATTGTAATTAATTCGAAACCTCGTAATGCCTGTGTTAGACTCTATTCTACAATTCGAAACTTTCAAAACTTTTATTCGACCAAAGTTCACTTGAAATTATTTGACCAAGGTTCACTTAAAATTTATTGACCGAAGTTTACTTACAATTTTATTTGACCAAAGTTCACTTAAAATTATTTTACAAGCTGTTTTTTTTTTTTTTTTTTTTTTTTTATTACTATTACCGAAGTTGATTTAAATTTTTAAGCAGAATTCAGAGAAACTCTTCGGTTCTTACTGTTGATTTTTTTTCTTTTTTTTGGGGGGGTTAAGTGACAATCTCATTAAAATTTTATCGGGAAAAAGTGAGATCATTAATATTAAAGAAATTTTGTAAGTGAGAAAGGCTCTCCTAAAGTTTCTTAAATTTCACAAAATACTAAACTGCAGCGCAGCTGCGTAGAATTTGCTTAAGCGTAACTTCGCTTGTCGATCAGAAAGAAATTTCGCCGGAACTTCGTTAGCACTAGTAAGAACAAACTTCACACGCAGATATGTGCGGGAGCTCTAGCAACGGAGAATCCAGAAAATCTAGCAGCTTGGTCGAGATAATATAACATCGTATAATGCCGGTAGATTAAGCTGTTTCTCGTTTGTTTTGTTCGGACGGTGATCGATCTCGATACGCAGGAAGTCGAAATAATCCTTCGTCCGTACCGATAGCGCGTAAATCTCGCCGTAATCCGATCACCGAGAGTACGTTGACCAATCTTTTCTCTCGCGATACTTATGATAAGCCGGTTCGGTCTGCGTGTTCGAGCGCATCAAGCATGTTATATCGTTTGTTCTGCCGGTTTGCTCAAAAAAACGTATGCAACAGAAGCGAATTATACTTCCAAATCTCTAATCTATTACTTATCATTTTTTTTTGCAGTTGAATTCGTTAGAATTTTTAACAAAGTTTTTAAGAAGTTAATTTTATTAAAATAGCGAAAGTGTGTTAAACGACGTTCACCGGGTTAGAATAATAAAATAAGTTTACACAAGCACAATTGGAAGCAAGAAAATCAAGAAGCAACTTCACAAAAATTATATACACTACATTTGTTAATTAAATTAATTTGTTAATTAAAGTTCTTTTGGGGAGGGACAAGCTCCTCCGAGGTGGGACTTCTCGGGAAATTTGTTAATTAAACGCTACATTTGGTAATTAAATATATACACTAAGTTGTTAATTAAATTAAAAATTGACTTAAGTTAAAAACTCTTTAATTTAATATGTAAAAAACACGCATATCGAAATGACCGCATGTTCGGCCTGTAGAAGACTTTCCAACAGTATTTCTCGCGGAAACGTGGTGGAGAATCTATCCCGCTCTTCTCCTCCTCCTGCTTTTCCTTTCTACGTAACTGACTGTCCGAGTATCCTTTTATCTGATCAACCTGCTACGAAATTCGTGGTGATGGTCTCCGACAACTAATCGATATAGATCGAGAAACTACTGTTCTGACAAATTATTCCTGTAACTTTAAAAAATAAAAAAAATTAGTAACAACGCTTGCTTACGGGGGTGGCCTAGCGTTCTTGCGTGTCTCTTCTTTCTGTCCGATAGTGAAGCGATCGCGCACCCGGGAGAACAACACCACGCCGGAGGGGTATCAACCCTGATGGGCCTGGTTTCGTGACCTCTACGATTAAGGTTCGGTGCTTGCAAAACTTTGGCACGGCATGACTTTAAATCCGCGCAACACACATTTCCTTCCTAAAATGTAGGGTAGTTTTACTAACACGTTGATCTTGTAGCATGTTTGTTAGTGAAATTGATACGTAGCTATTAACACGTCAGATTGGCGAGATTGGCGATACAACTTCTGTTCATCTTTTCAAGTTATTTGTTTGCTTTAATTAACAATTGAATTTTGCATTATGCAAAAATATTTTGTTTTATTTGATTTTTTAAGTAATAATAATAATAATAACGTTCCATTAAAACTTGCGTGGAAATTATGCGTGTGAACATTACATATGTATTTGTTTTATTCTGATGTATTGCAGTATGTAATTAAAAAAATCATATTTTCCATATAGAAAAGAGATCAATATTTAATATCAAACTAATCAAGAAATAAGAACACCAGAAGAGTCAAATGACCGCTGAATATATATACGAAATATGTATTTTTTAAATTAATACACATAATAATTTTTAAATTGAACTGAATTCGAATTACCACATGTATTAATTTACACGTTTAAAACATATATATTTTGCGCATCCTGCATTTGGCTATTAAATCCTTCTCAGTTAGTTTAATATTACAGAGAGGTGTTTTTATAAATATTTGTTAGTATTTAGCAGTAATTTTGATATTGAAGCCAATATATCAATTAACTATTTCAATTTGACGATATAGTTAATAAATAATATGATCAATAATATTTGATATTATTAAAATTCGCGAATTGTTATATTATTGTATTATTGTATTGTTATCAGTTTAAATTAGCGGTTGGAAGCAATTAACATAATTGTATTTTGTTTATTTTCGTCAAAATCAATAGTCTTACAATAGATATTTGCTTCGCGAAAGATAAGATACGATATTCTTGCGAAAAGGAAGAAGCTATTTCGGTAAAGTTCGAGACTCCTCTTTCGGATAAACGAATACGTTAAGATCGCACGCGCTTTGAACTTTATACAATTTTAGTCTCTTATAATATGCATAAGTGGGACTAAACTGCGCTCGTTTCATGAGAGAAACAGAGCGCGGGAGTAAGTAAAAAGTTCAGCTCCCTAAATGGAACGCGGTGTCTAAGTTTCTGGACTTAATAGAGACTTACGCCCTACGCGAATGTCCCTCTTGCATGCGAACTTTCAACGATATAAACCCCGCTTTTCATCTATTTGCATCTCAAGGTACGATACGAAATGTTCTCGCCTCCTCCGCGTGTTTGTATGTGCATGCATTTATATTCGCGAATGTGATTCTTAGGGCGAGGACTCGATATCATATCGAAATACCTTTATGGAAATTGGTTTCCACGGAGATCGTTATAATCTCAATTTACATTGCTGTGCTTTAAAACTGATCGCCTCTCCGATATAATAGTATATAAAATAGAAAATATTCTCTTGCCGGCTTTAAAACTGCGCAACGTAGTCAACGACAACAGAGAGTTTTAACAAAAACTGATTTATTTGAAAAAAAGAGAGCAAGTCTCGGAACGAGAAAGACTGTAGAAAAAAAAAGGAGCGAGTAAACGCGTAGATAGAAATCTTTGAAAGAAAAATGGCGCATTTCTCGAACGCGCTACACGAAAGTGTTTAAAAGTTGAGTTCAGTGAAAAAACGAATGAACTTATTTCTAACAGCCGTAAGATGTTGAATATTTTTCTTACGCGATAATGAACATCGCTGCTCGTACTGTGCGAAAAACGTCTGCTTTCGTCTGAATATCGGCTGTTCGCATCGATCCGTCCAACACGGGGTAGTTGAAAATTAATGCGCCGTGCTTGAATTGGCACGGAATGATTGTCGATACGCGATCGTTTGAGCATGAAGATGGATTTTGATTAGCACGCTAGCATCACACATTGAATATGACAATGTGTAAACGTTGTGACTTGATTTCACATGCATTGCTCAACAACGTAGCATATTATATTGCAAAGACTGTTAAATGTATAACGTAATGATTCCAATTAAACTATTTTGGATTTATATTTCAAATCCACTTTTATTACAAATTCATAAAATATTTATATATTTCTATATTATTATATATATTTATTGATAATATATGTTTCGAAAAGAGTTGTCATAATTATTAAAATTTAATATTTTATATATTAAATTTACAATAATCACATTTAACGCGGTATTAATCAGAGAAAAAACGCGGGAAAAATAATATATTTCAGAAAAATTTTAATATATAATATTTTACGTACTTAACATCGCATTTAAAATATGATTAAAGTCCGCAAATTATTTATATATTAAAGTTACAACGACTAAGAGTTTGGGAAATCTCACGAGCTTCTTTGTATGTATATTTATAAAAATAATTGGCATTAAAATGCTACGAGAGAATATTTTTAAGTTTACTTTTGATCACGACAAACAAACATAAGTATTTTGTCTTAAGTCGTCCTTGCCTCGGAGGATTAGAAGTATCCGTGAATTTAAGTTGTTATCCGTTGCGTTTGCTCTTTGCGCTTCGTAAAGCGTGAATGCGTCTGTTGTGAGGATAACGAGAAAGGATCAAAGGAATAGAGCTGGTAATTGTTGAGAGAAGAAAATATACGCACAATGCTGGCGGTACTTTAGTGTCGCGTAAAAGAGCTCTTTGTTATATGACACTGGATCAAATAAACTAGTATTATCGGTATCGAGGGTGATAGCATCATTATCTCCAAGGCAGGGATGGTAGGTACTTTTGAAACTGTCTGTTGCGGCCGTTGGTGTTATCGATCTCACGTTTGGCGAACCGTAACGAAACCGTAATTATCGGACAATACTCTAATTTGCTACTGACTTTAATAAGCAGGATTAATTGTATAATCCGCGCGAATCGGCTACGGAATAATTAAAATTATTGATCTTTCCCGTGTGTACGTGTTATATTCTTTTTTTTTTTTTTTTTTTTTTTTCGATAACACATTTGGAATTTGATTGTAGTTGCATTTTAAAGCAGAAAGTGCGAACACTTTCCGTTTTCCATGTCACTGGGCATGCATCGTTAGCTACTATTTCGGGGGAATTTCAGACCGATTGCAATAATGTCTATACCAACAACCATCGGGCTTTTACAGCTGTATTCCGAATGGTTTGTTTACCATCGAGCATATCGACAAACCATCACGTCGACTAATCTCCACACAAAGCAGCAAATTAACTCTCTGCTATAATTATTTACCCGATCGAAATAGAGTAACATGCACAACAAAATTCACATATTACACGTACGTGTATATAATCGTGTATCGTAAAATTAACTTGACTAAAATATTGGTACTAGTAGTTTTGAAACGCTTGAAATGCAATAGAATTATTTAGAAACTTCTTTACGTACATTTTAACGATTAACTTCGTAAATTTTCTTTTTTTTTTTTTTAGTGAAATTATATTTTTTTCTCATCGTTTTATTGATTGCGTTATTTGATCTGACATTATTTTTTTTTGACACTGGAAATTGTGAGATGAGACTCAGCAATGTATTTTCTAAAACTCTCTTTTTCACTCACTTTTTCTCTCTCTTTTTTTCTTTCTTTCTTTCTTTCTTTCTCGTAACAATCGCTGCTGTTGAGCGCAATGAAAGATTAATTATTGAAGTTTAGGAGAGTTCCTTCTGTCGATCACATTAAAAATCACAAAGTACGCCTGCAACTCGTTAATTAAACATCAGCGAACTCGAATAAAATTTTGCATTGACTTGTACTTAACAGAAACTTTTTATAGCACAGAAACGGTGTATTAATCGTGTATAATAATTAACATGACAATAACATTTAATTGCAACTCGGTCGTTTCCTCTTTACTTTTGCAGCATGTCTCTTAGAATGTTGTCACGGTATGAATTCTAATTTTATATTTGCATTTTATATTTGCTGCTTATTACTCAATAAAAATACCATTTCGCGCATTGAGAAAAACAGTTTTTTTTTCCTCGTGATTTTGTTTTTTCAATTTATTACAAACGGTTATCAAAGACCAGAATAGCTAGTTATTAGCTTGTCAATTGTTTCAATTGTGTTGTATTTTTCACTGCAATTCTCAATACGCGACTTTGAAATAATTCAAGCAAAAAATGATGTCCGTCAATAACCTGTCAAGTACAGACAATATCTCGAAGTCGGTACTGAACAAATTTGTTTGTAAAATTTAACATTTTTTCTCTACTGTGTCACATGCGCTTTTGCGTTTCGAATAAATTTATTAAAAACGCGACATCTTTGGAAATAAAAAAAAAACAGTATATCCAACGAAAAGATATTTTCGTATATTATCGTTTATTTGAGATATAAGTCAACGAGATAGAAACATTGACACAGCACATTTGCTTGCATAATATCGTGGAAAAAATGTCATCGGCGCCAGCCGCTTCGTTACGTTTTCTCTTTCAGTGCGTAGAACGTTGAAGAACGGTCTCTCGGAAGAGGAGAAGAAGCACATCGCCGCCTACATCAAGGGCTACTGACTGTGATAATACTCGCGAGGCCACGGAGACACGCTCTCACGAAACGAGACGAGGACGTCGAGCCGGGGACGTCGAAAGAGCGAGAAAGGGGAGTGAAGAGAAGTTCAGTGAAGACATCGCGATCCTTCGAGAAGATCTCGATTTTAAGAATCTTGTTCCGCACCGTCATCGCGACGGTTCGACGCTTCGAGCAACACGACACGATCAATAGGATTTGTGACGTTCGCCGAGCTCGACATCCACGCGTTTTAAGCCCCGCGTGCACTTCGTGTGTGCGTCTGTCGTTTAATTTGTCAAACACGATAAGGACGAACACAAAGAGAAAAAGTAAAAACAAAAACAAAAACAAAAAAAAATAAATAAAAACAAAAAACCCGCGTTTTGTTGTAAATTAGAATTACTTATTATATAAGTATTAATCGGTGATTCTTAAGTTTAAGCGCGAACAAATTCCTCTTCGACACGCGCGAAGCAAGAATAATTTTGCGCGCTATCTTAGAGTCTGTAGCAATTTTTCTCTTTATTTTGCAGCGATTTTTCTTGTTACGTAGACTCTCTTTGTCTTTTAGAAATTTTTCTCTTTCACGAAAGTTTCTTTACTCCGCGCAATTCTTTAGACATTTTCTTTTCACGTTTACCTTCTTTTCTGTGAAAGTTACGCGCGCATTGCTTACGTGTTATTACACCTTATATGTATCGTATCTTTCGGAGGAGTTACACAGAAACGACAGGGTCGACAATAGCATCAACACCACGTGCCTCGACGAATTGTTTTTTAAATGACCGATCGATTTTTTAAGACCGACTCTACTCTCGAGCGATCATCGACGCGCTTCTTGTTGTCATCGATCAATTTGCAACGAAGAAACACAGATATTTTGCATACGAAACAATTAAATATTCTAGAACGATTCCTGTCGAATTATTTAGTTTGTTGTTTTTTTTCACTGAACTAGCTGCACCAGAATTCATCATGGCCGTTCAGAATTCATTCTTCTCGCTCTAAATGGAGAAAAAAATATATGAACTCTGAACTAGTGCAATCAGTTCAGCGAAAAAAAAAACAAACCAATTAGCGCGAATATACCGATATACATACACATATATATATACATACATATATATGCTGAACGACGTAAATTTCTAGCGTGACTTGCGCCTTTAGCTTGAGAGAAGCAACTCAATTATCCTCTAATCATCACTTTATTGTTGCGTTTTGTAGAGGCGCATAATCGCAATCATTGTAACTTTCAGTGGAAATGATTCTTGAAATAAAACGAAAAGTAATTAAACAAACCGAGAAAGTTTTAATGGTCTCAGCCCTCCTCTTTTTCATAGTTTTTTTTCAGAGGAAATCTACAGCGCATAGTTTTTAAAAATCTGATTTTGTGCAAAAAAAAGGTGAGTATTGCGCATTAAAAATATATTTATATCAGTAATTCCAATTTTTTTTTTTTTTTTTTTTTTTTTTTTTTTTTTTTTTTTTTTTNAATCTGATTTTGTGCAAAAAAAAGGTGAGTATTGTGCATTAAAAATCTCGTTATATTAGTTTTTTTATTTTTTTTTTTTTTTTTTTTTTTTTTTTTTTTTTTTTTTTTACAAAAAAGATAAATTTCACAAAAGAAAGATAAATACGACATTCAGACGGGGATGCAGAAATTGAAAGAGGTAGTTATATAACAAACTGTGCTCGAGACACACGATTTATTATTAACCTTCATCCAACTTTAACAACATACAATATAATGTAGTAATAAAAAACGTATCAGTTAAAATGTAATAATGATAGCTATGAGATAGATTTGGGAGGTTCGCGTAAGAGCAACCACATTTATCTCCACCGCGCATCCTCGGGATATTTCCTCATCCTCCTCTTCCTCGTCATCCTCTTCTTATCTCCTGATCATGTTGAATCACGCGCGCGCGCGCGCGCGACTCTCTCTCTCTCTCGAGTAAGGGATCGTTATGGCTGGAATAAGGAAGGGTTTGTGGGGAGAAGCTTGAGAGTGAGACAGAAAATGCGTGTGATTCTTAACACCATACATCGATGCCTTTGAGTTACGCTAACATATATATATAATCATGTAGAAAAAACACTTTCTCCGTCGCACATGTTCCTTTCACTCTTGTCATCACTTTCTCTCTCTTTTTTTCCTCCATATTTTATATATAATATATATTTATATATATATAGCGTGAAATACAACTCTTCTCTTTCTCTCACACTCACTCTCTTTTCATTTCACACGCCAGTCACTCAAGCAGACATTCGTGCGTTTTTCGTTTCTTGTAATATTCATATTCAAATGTACAGTTGCGTCGTTGCGCCGGAATGTCGCCTGTCTAGGAATATCCGTGAAAATTTCGTCATGAAGTTTTGTAACGTTTTTTTTTTTTTTTTTTTTTACAGGCTTTTACGTAAACCGATTAAAAAGTTTTGCGCCTTCGGACCTCATTGCCGTTGAAAAGTCAAAAAAACCTCATATTTTACCGGAAAATATTATATTGCAAAGGAAGGAGAACAACTGCACCGAAAGACTTTTGTGGATGTTCCGAGTAACTGCTATCAGGATCAGAGAGGTTTCAGGTGGCGGTTACGACGGAAGTGGATCGAGATTCCCTCTGCAGTCTCGAGTAAAATGCTGCATGCGTGCGTATATAAAGCGACTCGCGGGATGTCATCGCGCGATTTCTATTCCGAACGGGTGCGATCGTATTCTCCGTTCGAAAGGGTTCAGAAAAATCAGGGAAACTTCGAACTATATAAATTGCGAGCCGTCGAGCGTGATTCCCGAAGCTTCAGAAAAGTTGCCGGAAGGATCTTGCGAAAAATCAATTTTACTTTACGAATTCTCAAACTTCGTTGTCAAAAATGTTCACCTACTTCCGGAAGTTATCCCTGATCAAGGACGCGAATGCGACTTCGGCGAGTCGAAGATTCCCGAAGATCGTTCGGTCCTTTCGTGTCGTCGGTGACGTCGAGTCAGAGAAATTCGCCGGTGAATCCGATCGGTTTGTGAATGAACGAGCGAGTTAACAATTAGTCGCTCGACGCGATCGATCGGCGGATCCCGCGGGGATCTCCGAGAGGGGACTCGAAGAGGTGATTTTATACAGAGGTGAACACGTGGTAGCGCGAGACGCGACGGCGTTGCCGACGGCGAGATATCGCCGTCGACGCCGACAACGGGCGCTCAGAGACGCGATAATGCGGCACGAAGACTTCAGAGTTCGTCGTGCTTCGGCCCACTGAACTCTTCGTGGGAGATGAAGCCGTTCTTGTCCTTGTCCTCGTGCTGGAAGATCTCCTCGACGAGCTTATCGTGGTCGGACAACATCTTCTTCACGTCCTCGTTCTCGCCGCTGGCTTGGTCGGCCTCTATCTGTTTCCGCAAATAGTCGCTCACCTGCAAATACAAAAATTAGCCGCACACAAATGAGACAAATTGTTAGCAATTAGTGTGTGTTCAATTTAGCGTCAGTTTGTTAATTGAAAAAAGCATTATTGTTCAATATTGCTAAAGTGTAGTGAATTATTTCGCAGCATGTAAAATATTATTTCTCTTAAATTCGTTGAAATAACAATTTTACGGTTTTCAACAATTTAAAGTTTTTAATGCATTTACACGATGAAGCATGATTACATAACGCAAATATTTATACAAATGTAAAACAAACACGAGTTATTTGATGATAATACAAGCGCGATTAAAATTCAAATAAACGTTATTAATATCATTAATCAAACTTAAGCAAATATTACAATAGTTTATCAGAGAGAAAGATTTGTAGATTTACTCTTTTGGCTGTAGGTATAATATTTTTCTACGACCAACACCGACAAATAATCCAAATAAAAAATAAATTGTGATCTTGCCATTGCTCTCACCTCCTCGCGGGACAGTTGATTGTCCTTGTCGGCGTCAATCTCTTTGAACACGTTGGCGGTTGGAGGTGAATCACTGATGTTCATAAGCTCAACTTCGAACGTAAGAGTAGCACCTGAAAATCAGCAATAATCTTTCTTTTGTTGTGTTTTTTTTTTATTCTACACGTGATGCGATATAAGCAAATAAAAAATTTACATCAATACTACGCGTACGTCAAGCAATAATGATTAGTTGCTATTACGTCTTTGTATAAACATATTTTTCAATATTTTTCAATATTTCGTCATTTTGACATGGGTTTATATAATGCACTGACGAAAACCCCTGTTTGATACAAATTTTCGACGTGACAGGACTCCCATTTCGTCAGTCGAGAGGTTTATCCATTTTTTTTGCAAATACTATTAATCTCGATCCGGGCGAGCACTCGTAAATCATTTCTAGAGCGCATCGATCTGCTGTCAGGCGACAAAGCTTTTTACGCGTTTCGGCATGGATATATATATATATGTATATATGAGAAATATGTAGAGTATATATATGCATGACGGAGCAATAAATCGGATAAATCGACACGCATGCGTAAATATATGCGAGTAAAATGTAAGCAAAAATTCATTTGAGAAAAGAAAGAACAGCACTAATTATAAGAACTGACGATAACAGCAAACAGACAAAAATAAGAGATAACCTTTTTTTGTATATAGAATGTATAAAATTACTTATACTGCAATTAAAAAAGAAATTTATTGATTATTACTCTTCACAGAGCCAAATCGTTCTTTTAGAAATAACTTTCTGGCGTATTTATTCAAAACGGAGGATTTGCATGTCTCATGTCATTATGTAATATTCAAATTTGACGTTGGTACAATTTCACATAAATGTGTTCAAATATAGTTTGCGCGTAAATAATGAAAATTCCGCTCTATATATGCGACGGAGAAAATCCACGAGAAGTTCTTCTGTTGCAATATACAAGAATAGACATTTTAACAAAAATATGATACAAACTAAATGTCTTGATTTTGAATCGATATATAGGAATTTTGAAATAGTATCGGGAGAGTCATAAAATACATTGTTAAACGTAGGATCGAACAGGACAAGAATTAATCGTGCGCAAAACACGCACACACACACACACACGTTCGTGTATCGCTAATAACGTCGCGCACAGAAATTTGATCGTCAATAACGGCATCTATAGATATCCGAAATAACAATGACCAGCAAATTCGGCTGGGGAGGGTTAACGAAGTGCCCGACACAGGGAGAGAGAATGCATACGCGCCCGGCACGTCCAGCCATTAATTATGGATGGTCCCGTCGCGATTAAGCTGGCCCTAATGAAATATGGCGCTTAATTATTCACTATTTAAACGAGTGAAATTAATACGGCGAATAATAATGCGTCGGTGTAACGATCGCCGTCGCCGCGAAAATTGGACGTGAGAAATAGAGAGAGAGAGAGAGAGATGGCACTTTGGTGCAAATATTCCGATCTTAATCTCGTTCCTTTCACACGCCGTTTCATGTAACGTTCTATGTAGAATATTTCAATAAATTTGTATGTGATGTTCAAATTAGATTATCGGCGCAGAGAGAAATTGCGCATAAACTTGGAGAGAGAATTAGACGTTTTAATTGTCAATATAAATGTTCTTGTATGTTATATCTCAGTGTATTTTACATGTTATATTTTATGTATTTTCTCTTTATTTTTGTTTATTATATTTTCTACGGAAAACCGTGATAGACTTGTAGAGTTTCGGTGAAACAATTACGGACTCTCGTTGAAGAGACGATCGTAATTTCGCTAGTCGAGAGAGATATGCGATATCGATTTTAAATAAACTCTGCGAATTCCGCGTTTAAAAAGTAATTAAAATAAACAGAGAAACGCGGCGTAGAGCCAAGCGATTTATCTGCGCGCGAGATTCCTGCGAAAGAGGCGAATCGTTCATCACTGTTGATTCCGCCGCCGGTCACAGAAAGAGAGAGAGAGAGAGAGAGAGAGAGAGAGAGAGAGAGAGAGAGAGAGAGAGCCCGAGCGACAGTGTTCAATTTAATGGTTGATGCTTTATTGGATTTCCGTGCAATTGCATTTTTTGACTTCGATTCTGTTACTAACGACTACCCTTTTGTATCGGTCTCTCTTTTCCCCACGTGTCCTCCCCTTCACCCCTGCTTTCTCTCTAATCCCCCTCCCCCCTCATCGTGCTCGTAAAAAACGCTCCCGCGTGTAATTCGAAAAATACCCATGTCAGCGTGACGCCTTTTAATCGCGATGTACACCGTTGCGGTCCGCTTGATTGCCGAATATATACACCCATTGACGCCGGAGTTAATTGTCAGAAGAGATCGGAACAATTAAGTGTCGACGAAAAAAAAAACTGATTGTGAAATAACATCAATTTATCGGTGCTTTTTTCCACGTTTACAACTTCTCATTACGCAATTTCTTTTTCACGTTTGAAGATGAGAAAATTTAGAAATAAAACATGAAAATGTTTCTCGTACCACCGGGAATGACGTTTCCGGCGCCCTTCTCGCCATATCCGAGCTCAGGTGGTATCGTCAGCTTTCTCTTCTCGCCCACGCACATGTCCACGAGACCCTGGTCCCATCCCTTAATAACTTGGCCCACACCCAACTGGAAGGTGAACGGTTGATCTCTGTCCAAACTGCAACAAAGATAAAAAACCAATTTCATTTTTTCAAGTTGTTCTAAGAAAATTAACATCAATTATTGCATTGTGTGTTTCTTTTTTATTTCAATAATAATAGAACGTGTATTCTTTGTTTATTCGCATTATACGTCGCATTAGCTACACAATAAAGTCTTTCACCTCAACGCGGCGAGGAGCTAAAATGTTTTGTCTTTAACGAGTTTCGCGACGATTTGTTCACGTCGAAACTTAAAGGCGACACGCAAGGGGAGCGGAAGTGTGCGAGTCAGATGTTGCGGTGTGAACTAATTGGAAAACGCGCGGAACAATCAAGCCCTCATTTCGTATAGCAAACTTTCGCCAAGAATTCGCCATTGTGCTGACGCGCGCGCGCGCGCGCTTGCGAATGCAACTCGCGTGACTGCGCTCAATGTGTTTTCGCGTTAGATCGCAAGAGATTCAGAGGTCGTTGAAGGTGTCAAATTTATTATTCATTTCTCTAATGCGAAGAAACACGAAAGAAAGAAGAAAAGAATGCATTCCGCTCGAGATGTTGAAAACCAACGACTTTCCGCGTCGCGGCGGAATATTGCTGAACCATGAAGACGACGTCGTAAGCCAGATCTTGTTCGAGGCATCTCAAAATGCATGTTGCTGATGACTAACAAGAGGGTTGCAATGTCGAGCGCACATGCGAGATGGAAGTAATAGGAGCCAGGCACACTCAGTTGGAGAGCTTCGTGCGCGAGTGCCAATGTAGGCACGTACGAAGCAATACGGGTAATGCTAGGCTTCAGGAAGAGATACGCGAGTAATTAGTATGAAGATAAAAAATTAATGAGAGATATACATTCAAGAAAAAAACTAAACATTGATGGCACGTGGCAAAAGAACAATTTAGGATAATAAAAAAAATATTACGTTTGTTATATTTTTTGTGGATAACTAATTATTTAATATTTAGTTTTTTTCATTTTTTAATTATATCTCTTCAGGCGCGCGCCATCAATGTGACAGATATATTTTCACACATTTTTTAAATTATTTAATCACAATACAATCACGTGATTTCGAAGCTGTTAAAGCTGCGCCACAAAGTAAAACCAATAAAGTAAACCGATAAAAATGTAAAAACCAATTAAGTGTCACGGAAAAGCGGCAAGAGTAAACATAGATTAAGACAGATCGAGAGAGAATCGATCTGATTCTTAACAAAACGCACATTTTGTTGTACAGTTCTAATATCTTTTGAATGTTTTAATATTTTTTAAAACATCATCTTCCTTGTGATAAAATATCACGTATAAAAACCTTATAAAAAACTGTTTACACAAGCAAAAGAGATAGAGACCCGTCTACTACTTTTCTTTACATAACCTTTCGTCTTTTGTGTTTGCGGCATTTAAAAGCTCGCGCACAATGTGCGTGCAAATGCTGCAGATTACATTAAAAATAAAAATAAGCAGAATGTGTTTCTTTCATTCGTTTTCATTATACGCAATATTCTTGTTTTGAAGATAAATATGAAGAATGGAGAGAGAAGAGGCATTATATTTTTCCCCGAGTTAACTGTAATAGCGTAATTTTTTTTTTTCCGTCAGATTTGTGTGCGAGTGTATATGTTGCTTTCGCGAAAAGAAAAAACCTATTACGAGAGAAAAGTAATATCTTAAATGTACGCATGAAGCGGTAAAAAAAAAAAAAAATTACTGACGAGAGCGAGATTCATAAGCAATGAGTCGTTATTTATTTCTCTCGTTATCATCGTTTATCTCGCGTGCGCGCAATACCGGCAATATTTAAGAAAGATTCTTTTCATTCAGTTTTATATCCTCTCTCTCACGTATTTATACTCCCGTATTCTTGAGCTTTCCCATTCCCGCCCGGCACAATTCCACTTTATCAAGATACATGTTAACTGCGAGTCGGAAAAACGATATTGAGTATCTCGGGCGCAATATCATCGGGCCGATCATTTTTCCCGCCGTTCTGAGTGCAGATGATATAGTCAATTTCCAGCGTTATTGGTTTTTGGCTACAGCCTCGCTGCTACAAGAGGCAACTCTTTACCAACGTGGAGGGCAGATTACTTTCTCACTGACCTGCTATATTAATAAATAACGCGCTTTTCCGCAACATTGACTCCCCAAACGCTTCTTACATCGTGCATTTTATGTATTTATGTTCTGTCTGCAATTTTTTTGTGCACGTTTGTAAAATTCGATGAATATCTCATTATCGCGTGTTTAAACACACACTATTTATGTGTAAAGCAAAATTCGCTTTATTTCTGATATCTCGATTCGATCTCTGATATTTTTTATCGCACGTGCAGTACAACCAGAATTTATTATTTTGCAAAGTTTTCACGCGCGCGCCGTTGCCTTTATCGAAAAATATTTTCTATAGTGTCCCCGTTCCGGATATGCGATATCGCGCCGGACAGCTCGATAGTTTTTCCAACGCGCATAAGCACGAACGATACTGTTAGCCCGGTGCATTATCGGCTCACGGATGCTATCCGACATTTTGCAAAAGAAAACATCAATATTTTGGCACGGGAGGATATCTAATATCAGTTTTCTATACTTGAAAATAAATTGTCAAGGATTTTTTTTTAGATTTGTTCTAATAATGTCAACGTCAGTCACGTAAATTGCTACGATGGACAGTAATAAGTCCACGAGATCGACAAACGTTTTTTGAGAAACAAATATTTAATAAAACAACAACTAAAAAATTCCAGTGGATTTGATTTTTCTTCTCTTTTTAAAGTGTTTTAACTTTTTCTCTTTGTAACTGTTGGTTAATCATCCGGATTCTAACAGCGTGTTCGAATCGATACGGCTAATTGCAGCTTTGTGCAGCATCCTTTTCCTACACACGACAACGTATTTAAGTACTTTCCGGATACTCCGAAGAGTTTCTCCGTGTTCACGCGGTAGTCCATTCTCTTTCTCTTCCCCCTTTAAACTTCATTCTAACTTCTGAAAACGTTTCCAAGCCCAAGTTCCAGCCTTATATCTTTAATTCAACTTGTCAATGAGCAGTAGTTGTCTAATTATGTTAACTTTATCGTGCATTATTTTAACACATCGTGTTATTACGATAAAGGTAGTATCGAGTTATTCGCGTGAAATATCGCATCATTGAGCGCGCGCGCGCGCGGAATCGAAATGTCAATATAAAATGTAATTATTTAATTCATCTCAGTTGTGTCTTTTACTCGGACAGACAAATTGTTATACAATTTGTTAACATGACAATGTATCGATGAAGAATTGAAATTGTATTGACTTGAAAATTAAATGTGACTTTTCTCGTCGAAACAGAAATTCAATGTTTACTTAATCGTTGCGAGATGATTTTTCATTTTTAAAGCAATTAAATTGAAAAAAAAAAGTTTGTGCTCGACATATAGAACTTTTTTTTATTTAAATAAATGGGCTGTATATGAAACTATATTTGTAGCAAAAGCAAATGGCATTCTTCGTAATTACAGCCATTTAAAATGGCCTTCTGCTATTTACAATTTGAGTTTATATAAAAAGATATCTATTATTTATTTTATTACAATAAAATATTTATTATAACATAATAATAAAATATTAATAAAATAATAATAAAATATTTATTATTTTTTATAAGAGAATAGTTTTTTTAAAAGTGAAATCCTTTTTCAATATTCATAAGAAGTTTGTGCGCATTCAATTCAGGATCACATAGAAGATCACGTAGAAGATATCTCATATACGTATGTACAATTGACGTACACGATTCCAAACTGATCCGCTTAATTTCGTAACTCTTTCTCTCTCTTGTGACTTACTGGTATTTCATTTTCAGAGCTTTTCAAGTATACTCCATCAAAAAACCAACAAGTAGCTAAATAGACGCGATGGGCAGAACACCGGTGAGTCAAGGGAATTACGAATTACGCGACTTCGAATTACATGAGAAGCAGAGACGCTTCTGGTACACAAGAAAACAAAGCCAGGCACGTCCGGACGTACAGACGGCGGATAGACGGTTCTCGCGAAATGTCACGAGCGAGGAATGACGCTCAAGCACGAGAGACAGAAACAAAGGAATCAAAAAAAAAAGAAGGAAGAAAAGGGAAAAAAGAACAAACGAGACGCTAGGACAAGGAAGAAAACGAAACAATTGCTCTGAGACTTCTGGTCACTGAGAGATAAAAAATTCCGGAGGAGCACCGAATCCCGTTGTCATCCTTCTTCCGAAACGTCCTTGCGTACGCGGCGCTTTGCGAGCTTTCGTGTGCATCGCGCGGCGAGATCTTTAAATATTCAAATGATTTCTCCGCGAGAGCTGCTCGTATATATGTTAATATGCATTTTATATAAAATAGAAATGAAAATATAAAAAAGTGGACTGAAGTATAAATGCCCAGGAAGCACAATTCGATTTGATCGATGAAATGTTTATTGTAAGTTTTTCATTTAGGATAATAATTTTTATTCTTTTAATTTTATTCAGCTAGTAATTTGTATTTAACTGTAAAAATATTTCTGCTGAAGTTAAAATACGCGTCCATCACTCACCTCGTAATAAAAACTTGTGACCGAGGAAAAAGGGAAGACGATAGAAACAATAACGAAGAGAGAGACGGCCGAAAATTTTGTAGAAAATAATAAAGAGAGAAGAGAGAGAAAGAGAGAGAGAGAGAAAGAGAGAGAGAGAGAGAGAGAAAAAGACGAAGGGCGAGAAAAAGCAGCCAGCTCCCGTGCGCATTTGCATACACTCGCGCGCAGGTGGAGCGAAGCGCTCTGTGAAAACATAAATCGTACTACACATGGGGATTCCAACGGAGGGATGAAAGAGAAACGACAGATAGAGCGGGCCGGGCGAGAGAGGAGAAAAAGAGTAAGCTAGACCACAGAGAGATGGAAATAATGTATAGACGATGAGGGACAAGACTGGCCGGAGGGAAAAGATGAGGGAGAAAAAAAAACCGGAGAAAAGAATCGCTATCAAAGAATATCGCCCCTCGCGCC